CAACGTTCTGTCACTGAATCAATATGGATTCCGACAGAAGGGATCCTGCGCTACCGATTTGCTCATTGCACGAGAAGAATGGACAAAAGCAGTTATTTATCTAGACTTCTCAAAAGCGTTCGATCGGGTGAACCACGAGATTCTACTGCGGGAACTAGATAATCACAGTATTCGGGGCCTCATGCTTGATTGGATCGAAGTACTTCTTCCACATCGGACAGTATTGGTTCGTGTTTCTGATCCGCTTTCCAGTCATATGGACATTACTCGTGGGGTTCCAAAAGGATCTGTGCTTGACCCACGACTTTTCCTAACATTCATAAACGACCTACCCAAGGCTCTGTTTGCAGATAACTCCAAAATTAGGAATACAGTAACGCAACCGGCGGGCTCGCTGGCACTCCAAGAAACGGTCAAAGCAGCTCATCTCTGGTCTCTTCTGAACGATATTGAATTCAATGTACCAAAATGTAAGGTTCTTTCTCTACGACACAAGGGACGATTTTCATATTTCCTAGGAAATGTACAACTGTTACATGCCTCATGTGAGAAGTACCAGCGCATCATCATTCAATAAAACATAAGCTGCTCGCTCAACTGCACCAAGGTGTCGAATGCAGCTGTAAAAAATGACAGTTTGCTTATACGGGTTTTTGGCCGGTTTGAGTCAGCGCCTATCCCATCTAATATCAGCATACATTTGACCACTCACAAAGTACGCTATCCAGGCATGGAATCCATGGGTACAACATGATTGCAAAATGCTAGAGCGTCCACAAAGGATGGCCACCAATAGGGTTGGGGGATTGAATCGTTATTCGTACGAAGAGAGATCGAAGTCGTTGGGGTCATTTTCCAATCACCACCGGCGCATCAGAGGAGATATGATTATGGTATACCAAATAATGCAAAACCCAAGCCATCCGTGTCGCCCTCTGTCAAAACTATCACCCAACGTTCATCTTAGAGGACATCCATTCAAACTGGTGGTCTCAAAATGCCGATTGGACTGCCGGCGTCGGTCATTCGCAGTCAGAGGGTGTTCGATCTGGAACTCTCTCTCGATCCACGTCGTCTGTGCACCAAGCATTGAAGCTTTCAAACCAAGGTTAGATGAAAAATTAGCACACCTTACATTCCAACATAAGTGACGCTGCGTGCAGCAGTGGAAGAATCCTGTGTCATGTGACATTTTACACAAGGAATTGTATGTGTCACTGTCTGTTAACCACAACACAAACATGTGGGGCGAGAAAAGTATATCCTTGTAAGTTATTCCCATAATAAATCATTGAATCTTTGACATACAGGTTCAATCGAAACTGAATTGGTATGTTAGATATCAAGCATGGATTATTATTGTCAAACCGTATTTAATGCCATTTCACTGGGTTGTGAAAGAATTTCATTTGATTATCCAATAGGGTCGCCATAATGGATTATATATTAGATCAAATAATGACTCATAACAAATAACGGAAATGGCGGGGATTTATGGAAATAATTCAGGATAATTCTTGAGTCATTCCTATTAGAAAATATTGATACTTGATAAAGTCTGTGGTTTTCATGTTGAGATCATTTAATCTTGGCACTCAAGGTCAGGCACGTTTAACTGACACTCAAGCAACCTAGAAACTACGTCGATCGAAGTAGACAAGATATGAATTACTGTCCATACCTATGGCATTAACACAGGTGATAAATATGATGGCCATTCGGCCAGTACTGTTTATTGCTTAAGATGCATTAGGTCTCTATATCTGATGAACAATCTAGCACTATTTTCAACGATATGGGTTCTTGCCCTATCCTTGAATTTGGAAAAGTCCTGTTCGCTAGTTACAGGAAAGTTGGAGATTTTGACCAAACTCGTGCAACACCCTGGCTTTCATCACAATTGGTCCCCGCAGCGTTTAGTTTTTCAAGCCTCATTCATGGGATTGAATATGATATTGCCCCACATCAGACGCAACATATTCGGAATAATTTCCAATTGCTTTTGTTTCTGTTAGTTGAATGCCAATAAAATGTACGATTTCTCGATTTTGACGAGTGTTGCAAAATGACATGGTCACAGTAAAAAATATAACTAGAATTTATTTTTCAAAGTGACTCACAGATTTGACACAGGTAATGTATTTTCAAATGATCCCAAGCCTACCCGCCCTTCTTGGTTCTTGAGCACTGAAAGTAGTCTTTACAGCATGGAGTTCACCAACAGTAATTGCCAGTTTCCTCTAATACACCCCACACCCTCACCACTTTGGAGAGAGCAAGCTTGTTCCTTTTTAAAAAACAGGGAGATTTTTTCGATTACATTCAAATTCCAACTGCTTGGAGGTAATTAAATGAATTCGACCTTGGGATTGCCCCCCCCCATAAAATACATAAACTTGAAAAAATAATATTAATAAGGTTGAGATGAATTGATTTACTAACCTTCTTCCGTGAAAAATGACTCCCGCGAATGAATTTTGGGATTGACAGTTATCACGAACATCCCTTATCATTGCAAGAAAGGAAGGACGTTCTCGAAGTTTATTTTACTCTTATGTTAGTTACAGGTGTTGATCAAGCTCGAACAACGAACGAAATTTCTCCATCAAAATATAAACCGAGAGGGAGAAAGTCGATCATACGAAAGCAAGACATTGGTTATATTTGATCGCAGCACAGAACGGTTGCACAAAGCCAACCTGGAGGACAGTCCGGGCTGATTACCGGTTTTTTCCTCACGCTTTCGTTTAGAAAGTGATGGCTCAATTTAAAATATTGCTGAGGCCACGTGATATAGAACGCCGAACGAAGCAGAGCATGTATTGATTTTACCAACAAATTCAAACCGCGTCGACCGTCCATTTGACAATGGGTTTGTCTTTCTGGTGCCCAACGAGTAATTCAGCATGCAGTGAAATCTGATCTGCTAAGCTAGTTTTCTAATGATTTTCGTTTTACCTGTCAAAAGAAGTGAATATTCATCCCGCCTGATCAGCCAGAAAGGAAGCAAATGCTGAGTGCCTTGTCAGTGATCTCATGGACACACCAATCTAGATATCGCAAGATGTTTTGCACTGATAAGGGAGGCTTTCGTTAACTGCTACTCTTCAAATGCATTTGCAGAAGTCACATTTTTCACAGATGAAGTTTAGTATATCTTCTCGCTTGAGGTTGGTAGTGAAAACCCGTTGAACCTAATTAAATATTATTTTTCCAATTCATGCAGTCTCTGGAGGGATCAAGTTCAATATCGAATTCGTTAAAATACTGCGCAGTAGCTGGGATTTTATTTTGATCGAAAACTTTTGCTTGTATCAGAAACAGGAATAAGTCAGCTGCCTCCACATTGACCGTCAGTGGTTAGAATAGGCGCCGTAGTAGAGAAAACTTGTAAATTGTGTTTGGCAGTCAACTGCTTCCAGTGCGCAAAAATGAAGAAGGGGAAATGAAACATGGGCGAGATGAAAGAACCACACCTGTACAAAGTCTATGAGTCAATTTATTAAATAAATTATAGTTACGTTTTCTACTGTGGTCATGTTATTTTACAACCGATGCACCAGCAACCGTCGTCAAAATCGCGAAATCTTACACTTTAATGACATGTGGCTAATAGAAGCAAAGGCATATGTGGGTATTATATCAGATATGTTGCGTGTGATGTGTGGCAATATTTTATTCAATCCCATGAACGGGGCTGGAAGAACGAAGCATTGAGAAGAACAAACGAAATGAAAATCAGGATGTTGCACGAATTTGGTCAATAACCGTATATAAGAACAATAGAAACTGAGCTTGGGCTTACGGTTTCCCTTTCCCCAAATCCATCACGGAGTTTAGTGTACCTTTTGTAGTGAATATAAATGGAATGAATGATACTCGTTGAGAGGTGCGTGATCCAGATACTAATTAATTTTGACTAAGACTCTACATCATTTTTGTTTTTCTAAACGTATTTGCAAAGGCTTGAGAATAAGACTATCGGAACCAAGGATTCATCTAGTCCTAACCAATTTTCTGCGTATTGTTTGTATGTGATATAAGATTTTCAGGATCAAAGTAACAGAGAAAAGCTCACAGTTTGACTGATATATGAATATGCGGAAGAACAATCAAAATACAAACTGCCAGAGGGATTATCGCCGAACTGCGAGTGTTCATTTGTGCTCGTTACAGCCTATATTGATCTATAGTATCTGATAGTAAGCAAAAATCTACGCTAAACCACTAAAATGATGATGAGATTGGAAACTTTGTCAATTAGTGCTGCATTGTCAATACGTATGCTCACTACAACCGGAGACAGATAACAGCATTGTGATGAATAAATCGAATAGTAATTGCATGAAGCACTGAAGCACAAGCATGCGAATAAGAGCACGGACGAAGGGATAACATTCAGTCGAACTAGGGGCGACGCGCCAAAGCGATCACAAAATCGAAGCTGATTTTGACGAAACCCGGATCTTCAGTGAGGATTCCATTGAAATGAAATGGGATGATGTGCGAAATCAGTTGAGTCAATATCCGATTTGTTCAGAAAGGCGAAAATAGTGATCACTTTTTGTACGTTTGAAAATACCCATAGGGACAGGGAAGTTTCGGAGTGAATAAACAAAAAATTACGAGACTAGGTAAAGTGAGCAAAGGAGATCATCATAATACTGCAGGACGATCAGGGTAGACAGATCAACCAGAATGGTTGTCAAAACAGAGCAACAAGGACGGACGTGTAAAGGAGCTGAATGGTCGAGATAGATAGGGGAAGACAGGGGGTGAGTAATTAGAAGACAGAACTTTTTGTTTCAAAACAATTGTAACGAATGATTGTTGAGTTTGAGATACATGATTCCTACGACAAACCGTTCAGTTTGTGACACAGAAGACGATTTTATCCACGGTACTGCATGAACTGAGGTCACAAATAGGGTTTTCATCGATAACGTTGGTGATGCAAAAGTTTGCCTCAAGACGTCCGAAAAATTGATATATTTTGTCCTCTACTTGGGCTGCAATTCTTCTTCGTATTGTTTTCGGAAACAGTCTCCTATCGGGAAGAAATCCCAACAACGCTGTTGGTATAGCTCCCATACGTAGGTCTCCTAAAACGGACAAATAAATAGAATGCCGAATGAGTGAGTTGCACTTATGCCTATTTGTTGTCGCACCATCCAACAAGATACTAAAATAAACTTGAAAAAGAATAAGAGGAAAAACAAGACTAATCCTTTAAGATTCCCGTTCATACAGGTTTCTATAACCCTTAGCCAAACGGTAGCAGAACTAAAGAAAATCTTGTTTTATTGATCAAATTCCGTCAGTTACAACTATCTGTGTTACCTGATATTATAGAGGCACACGTCAATATTTCCTTAAGAAAATGTCTTCACTTATGCAAAGTTAAACATATGTTTATTTCAGAATAAGTTCGGTTCATTCTACGTGGGCAGTAGACAAACACGTAAATGATCTTTGCCGAAAGACAACGGAACAAACGGAAAAGTCTTTAGAGCCATAAAGAAACAAAAGTAATAGAAAAGCAAAAGTGTGATCAAATACGAGGCTGATTAAGTATTAATAATTAGCAGATTTGAGAAAGAAGTTACATCATCCTTTTTTCGAAAGATCACCAGCAATTGAAGTATCTGAGCACACTCATGCGCGCCGCTTGCATTTGAAAATGACACCATACACCATGCCAGTCCTCTGTTCAACATGGTAACTACCGCTCCAAATAACACTGCGATCAGATAAATCATGACATTGTCATATTACTTATTTTGCTTATCAAAAATCTCAAGCTCTTCCCCAAAGCCCATAACCATGTATCCGTTTGGCGAACAGTTCATTTCCCCACGCATTACAAATCATGCGATTTAGAGTAAAATCCAATCATATACCGAACATTTTCTTGTCACAAATTAAGAAAAGAACTAACGCATACAGATCATCAGAATCTCTTAATAACACAGTTTCTTCATCATTACTGTATATATATATATAAAGGTGCCAGCGCTCCAACAATAACAACAATAACAATAATTGGAGGGAGGTTGGGATACAGAACATAGGAAACAAGACGAAACTGCTGAAATGGAAATCTACGAATAAATGGGATAACAAATTTTTGTGTTCGTTTATCACTGACTAAAGTATTTATGTTATTTCCTTTTATGTAAACATGTATTAATAATACCACTTCAGTGTTATATGGAAGCGGCCAAAGTGCGCCATAAGGGGCAATCAAGCAATTGCGCAACTTGAATTGACATGACTTGACTTGCAACGAGTATCTTGTTGACGGTACGACTGACTCAGTTCAGCAGTTATGATCGAAACGATTACATACAGCGGGGTCATCTGTGCCGTGAACCGTCGTGCAATACGGAGGTATTGCCGGAAATCATTTTCCTTCAAAGACTATGAGTCTAATGTGAGAATCCGTTATCTATCACCACTAAAAGAATTCAATAAGTTAATGGTTTGAAGTTACAGAGTGATCAACAGACAAACAAGCCACTTTGCACCTTATATTCTAAGTTTCAATGTTTTAATTCAAAATAGAAATAAAAGAGCCCCTCAAGCAAAAGTGAATTAGGGAACACTACGGTATATTAAGCATAAGCGAATCTCCTTGATGTACTGAAGTTTCAAACTGATGGCGAAAACGTGCGCTCTACCAGAATGATTATAATGTGAGACGAAATTGTCACATTTTCCGAAACATTTTAGGTAACTAAATCTTTATAGCGGGAAGTTATTTTCCGTCTACATAATGCTCTCTGAATAATTATTCCTAGACAAAATGTACTAAATGTTTTTTACAGGTTTCCAGGGTCATTTTACATCAGTCGATTTGATAAAGGCATATTATAGGATAATAATCAACCTGCAATTCGAACTTACTTGACCAGTATATTCGGTATCAGGCTTGTTTATAATATGCATGAGGAAATACCTAAAACAAAAGTTCAAACAGTAACTTTCAAAATACGTAAATTGTATAAATGATTTTTAAAATATAACCCAAGAAGATGAAGACCAAAAATTTTACTTCACATTAGCAAAAATCAGCTAGTTGCTACGTAACATCAATATAGTCAAAAGTTTCCTTTGAGAAATATGAAGGCAGTCGCGTTTGACTCAGAGCAAGCGATGGTATTTGAGGAAATCACGGCCCCAATAAAATTTACTCACTAGGATGTGAGCCTAGACTGAATCCACTCAACATTCAGGTCTGGGCATAGTGACTGATTTATCGATCCCTCGTGACGCTTCCTTACCCAACCGACAGAGGTCAATTACCGCCGGGTTCGTTCATTCGCTTTTATGACGCACACTCGATCAGCGATCACGGACATAACGTTCCCGGGTGGTGGGGGGGGGGGAGAACAGCTTACATCACCTAACCAAAAATCTCATCATCGCTCGTTAACTTTTGTTTGTTTACGAAGAATTTAGTTCATTCGGACTGGACGGGGTTTATACAGACCCGATCCAATCGTTAACGTTTGAAGGCCGAAACACCAATCGCCTTGTGGGGTTCCCGGTGGAATGCGATTGGTTGAATTCACTTGAAGTTGAAAAGATATGGTCCATCTTTCAATAAGCGTGATTGTAAAAGCACTGTCCAAAGCAAATATCTTGGTACATGTTCAATTACTCTCCACCGAAAAAATTCTATTACACAGCACTCGAGGGTTTTCCATTGTGTTTACATCGAATGATCTATAATTGTTCGATCGAATCGTACAAATTATTGAATGCTCCGCACAATGAGAAACAACCAAAGAAAATATGACAAACATGGTTTTCTCGGCACTTACATATAGTTAGCAAAGTTGTGCTCTTTTTCCACGTGTTGTTCGAACCCATGCGGGATTTTATCAAAATATTCTTTACCAATCCCGCAAATGAAGCATTTGGATTCTAAGTCCTCTTTGACCTGCTCCAGTTGATCACGCAGATCACCGAAAGCGTCAATGATGAGACCTGAGCGCATGTGTGTGTATGTCATCAGCGTCAGTAACAGAAGATACGAAAGAGAGAAAGAGAGCAAGGGTGAACAAACCAGAAATAAAGGGAATGAAAAATATACCTATATGGTTACTTTTCACTCTCAAATAACGCAGTCCCGGACAGGTCAATGATTAAAATATAGAACACTGGAGTAAAACCCATGAGTGTAAACCCCTCCAACATTAAACAGTTTCCATTACTGTGATCTGTGATCAATCAGATCTTCGTACTCTAAATTGAATATAAACTTGCCGAATGTCACGTAAATGGAGATATTTTACTTAAAAGAACACAAGCGAGCTATAAATTTACCATGTATCCAATCCAAGCAAACATGTTTTTCTTATGACTTTCTTTAAACCAGATCGCTTCGAAAGGGAATTCAAAGTAAGGGCAGAATTTCTCGATGACTGATAAAACATGTGTTCTTTATTATCGCCCCTATTTCACTCCCTCTCATAGTGTTTTCTATTTTTAAACTGCAAGAGTTATTTATTCACTTTTGTGGAAGACATCTTCAAAAGGTCCTTGCTGACCACTCACAGTTTCGGACAATACATCGAACATTCTAATTCGCGGCTTATATATATATATATATATATATATATATATC